GAGGTTGTCAGAAGCCCCACCTGGCTCCGTAGCCTTCATGTCAGGGCTCCTCTCTGGCCCTGCAGACCTCTGTGCTTTTTCTTTCTTAAATTTTTATTTATTTATTTATTTAATTTGAGTTACTTATTTTAATTTGGCCATAGAGGGACCGAGTGCGAGAGAGAGAGGGGGGAAAGTGAGAAAGCAAGCCACCAGGTCCGGGACTAGAACTGCAGTTGACTAACCATGCGGGAGTCCAGCGCCCTTAACCACCACGCCACCTGCCGGCCCTAAGCAGGTATTTTCTATACGCCTGGCTTTTTTAGTTCTCTTAGGGACGTTGGGTCTGAATGATCTAGGCTCCCAACACCAGGAAGTCTGATGTGTTATACATTTACATTAAAATGCAATGGGAGAGCTAGGTGGTGGTGCAGCAGTAACACAGTGGACTCGCATGGGAAACATCCTGGGTTCACGTCCCAGAACCTCCCTGTGCACACCAGGCGTGAACACACCTGCCTGTGATCCAGGCTGGCTGAGAAAGAGAGCGCATGGTGGCATGAAGAGATTCCGTTGCAGGTGATTCACTCTCTGTGTGGATCACCTCACATGAAAATAAATAAAACACTTTATTTTTTTTAAGGTTTTTGCCATAGACATGTGCGCTTGCAGTACAGACAGAGAGAGAAATCACCTCCCTGGGGGGTTTGGCCACGCCAATCCCTTCTCCTCCATTCTCCTCCTGTGATTTTGGGCATGCATGCACACACACCCGGCATGATCTTCAAACTCCAGGTCCCCGACTTGAACCGGGGTCAGCCATGTGGGAATACAGTGCCTTAACCACTATACCACCTGCTGGCCCCAAATAATAAACTTTTAAAAATATAAGTGGAGGCCAACTGGTGACATGGGATTTATGGAGACTGGATCCCACGTGGCCAGGTTTGGGGCTTGAGTCCCAGACCTGGTGGCTTGAAAACCATGCCGGTGCATGTGCGTATGTGTGCATGCCCAGAATCCCAAGAGGAGAATGGAGAGGGCATTGTGGTGTGGTTATCCTTCCTGGGGGTGCTTTCTCATCATCTCCCTCTGTCTCTCTCCAGTGAGTACACAGACCCTATGGCAAAATTAAAAAGAAAAAAAGTAAGGGGGCGGGGGGACACTATCAGATGACGTAATGGTTACGTTCCTGGACCCCCACATGGCTTGAAACTGACGCTGGGTGCGTGTGTGCATGTGTGCCCATAATCTTTTTTTTTTTTTTTTTTTTGGGGGGTTTTT